CCCCGTTGATGAGGTCAGATTTCCAGCACTGTATGATGGGGAAAATAGCCCGGAATTCCAACTGTATATGGAGAAACAGAATCTGGAAATCCAGACGAGTATGGAAAACAAATTCTGGAAATCCAAGCAGTTATGGCTACTGAATAAAATATGGCCTAGTTTATCTCGCCACTTACCGATTGATGAGGTTGGATTTCCAACAGTATGACTTAAAAAATTCTGACTGTATATGGTAAAAAAATTGGGCCAGTATGAAATAGTTGCATGTATTACTGAAATTAGATAAGGATGGTGGCACGAATGAGCTCATCAACACCGTGAATCAGGACTAGTTTGGATTTCCATTATCAAATATAAAATTTTGAACTTGGTAAATTAGCATACATGTATGATGAGTTATATTTGGAAATCCTACTCTGTATGGTGGCACATCAACATCAACACCAAAGTAGGAACTATAGTTTTGGATTTCCATTACTGTATGGTGAATGGTGATTTGGAAATAAAACTTTGTATGACTTCTACACCCATGGAAATTATACCTTGTATGAAGTAAACACACAAGCTCATCAATCGGGGGGGGTGCAGATATAAACTGGAATGGCCCAATGTGTTCCCACCACCTCCTCCTACAAACATGTTCGTAGCTTTCCATCTATCTATGTGCGACTCACTGGAGGGAATCAGTTTCAGATTCATTGTAGAGCATGGATGTCTGAGACATCTCTTATACACCATCCCTAACAATAGTAGCTTCAGCTCATTGCCAAGGAACCTGGTGAAAGTGAGAGTAAGTCAACTGGTGGGCAAATCTTTGCTAGTCAAAGAAGCAATCATTTTTTATCATGCAATCACTCTTCTTTTTTATGCTCACCTTGTACCAAAAGAGTCAGGGACTTAAAGGCAGTAATGCACTGTGTGGATTTAAATAATTTTCAGGATGGTCTGATCCTATGTAATCATGTGTTGTCAGACAGACTCCATCAAGCAGCCAAAATTCAGAAATATGCTTAATATACACATTTCCATTCTACCCACGTGCACAGAGCCACAGGCTTGTGTTTGTGAGCAAAAATGTTATGATTTTGAATACTGCTGTTTGGTCTCTGTCAGGCTCACATTGGATGTAACCCAATTTCTGACTGATTCTGGATGATTATAGATATATAGAAAACAACCTTCCATCCTAATGATGTCTCATCCATTCATAACATCAGATCATGTGGATGAGTTTCATAGCTCTGCGGCACTTCCAAATAGACTTAGACTCATCTCAGGGAAGGAGTACGCCTCACAAGAGATATCTACTCTTCACTATACACTTCCAGAACAGGGGCTGTGAATCTCACCAATCACTAAGGGGTTTCTTCTTCACACCCTTACGAACATTATTGATAATATTGGACCTGTCCGATCTAAGCTTGGAGCGCGCATGCTAGATCAGCAGGCACAGTGACACTGAGATGTGGATCTTTTGGACGCATATAAACTGAAGCTCTACAGGCCTAGTAATAAAAATAAATCACAACTAAACTTCTATGTCCTACCTCAACAAAAAATCACCGTCACTCAGTAACTTAACAGTTTTTCAATCCACACTTTGTGTGCTTGATCATCACAAATATCTTGAGTGCAAGCACATCAAATGAAAGAATAACAAAGTAGCTGACACTCGCTCGAACACAGAGCAGTTGGACAGCATAGAAGGCAGATCTCATTGATGTAGATTGCCATGGCACTGTGTCCAAAGCAAACAATTGGTCTGTTTGCCACACCATTCAACAGCAAGTTGACCAGGTTTATGACTTACATGCTGTGCAGTCCAGCTTTGACATAAAATGTGATCTCTCTGTGTTGGCATGGTTTTGATGTGTGCACTTTCCCTCCATTTCCAAAAATACTGTCAGTGCTCAGAAAGTTGACACCAACAAGAAGAACAACAATGATGTTGTTAGTAAAATGCTTATGTATAAACTCAATCCTGCAAGTTAGATAGATATTGGAGACAGTCAGTTATACCTACTCAATTGCGAACCCTCATGGACGTGGCACCCACAAAGATGCGTGATCTGAGAGCTCTGAGTAACTTTTTAGCATTTTGAGATGGAGCATCTTTGACCATATTATGACATTCAATACTTGAAATTACTTAATACATTTATATCTTATTACATGATGGGCCTCGTCTCAGATATAGCTAGCTATTATATGCTAGCTGGCTAGTGACGATATAAACAGTGGTTGCAGTACCCAGGAGCCACACGCATTTATTACAGGTTTTCATTACATGTAAATATACACAAAATACACGGGAGTCCTCCATATAAAATAAGACTGTCTACTTTATACTCATGCGCACCAGGATACTTAGCCACTAACCATCCAGAGCAGGTGGAAACCCACCTGTGAATAACTAACATACGAATAGATAGCAATTATTTGCTAATCTACGAAACGCAGATAATTTATCATTCCCACTGATTGTCCTGTTTGATCGAGAACTTGAGTTCAAATGTACCCAAAATGCATAGTGACACACCAATAATAATAATTATCAATAAAGAGTGAGGAGCAATCATTCAATATCACCTTCCAGTATAATGATAACGTACTTCCCATCAACAATCCTTCCTTCAATTGTTATCTTTCTACGATATGAACCTGAACTTGAAATCAAAGAATCAAGTTCATCTACTCATTATCCTTGAATTTGAAGGGTAGGTCAATCAATACCACCAAACTGTATGGCAAAAGAGATTACTTTCATTTTAGTATTATCAATACTTTGTAGTAATATCCCTCTTTCCTCTGCATATGGTGTATACCTTTCTCAGCTTGTTCGTAGGCTAGAGCTTGTGCTGTATATGTTGACTTTGAGAAACATCTTCTGAGCTGATAGTTCAAGGTTTTTCAAGATAACGTCTTATCTTATGGCCGTTATCATGAACTATTGATAAATAAAGTCAAATCAACCAGGCAGTTGATCTCTGATTTGTT